CCATACAAGGTCAACTTTGCCTGCGGAATTTGAAAATAAGTTTCTTTATCTTTTCTTAATTTATAAACGGACAATTTAAAAAAAAAGATTTGTTATAAATCATGTCAGTAAAGAAGTGCTGACTACTGAGTTGATGATGATACCCCCGAAGTATGAAAATATCAAAAAAACATATGCACCCAAAATAATACTGAGCAAAGGGCAAAAATTATTTGTACCACAGATATAATTTCTGAATCGTTATATGTGGAGATTTAAGGTGATATAATTGTTCTGAAACTTAAAATTGAGATATTAATTCGTTATTTGAAATCTTCAGCTGAGATATTGGGCTTCTTTATCTGAAACAATTAATTGAGGTCCTAGTGTTCTGATTATTTAAACTTTGATATACCATTATTTATTTTCTTTGGAATAAATTGAGATACTATTGACAACTATTAATCTTCAATGTATGTTCTTACAAAAAATCTTTAAAAATATTTAAAAAAACAACATTTTGTTTTCCATTCGTTTGATGTGTTTGAGCTTTTAATTATTGCCATTTGTTACGAGATTCCGTTTTGAATTTTTCTTGGAGTTCGGTATTTTTGTTATTTTACTTTTTAGTAAAGCTATCTCCTTAATTTTTAACTTTTAAACAATTTCAATTTCTACATATTGTACCTTCCAAAACGTGGTTTCATAACAATCACAAGTTAAACCATACCAGATTTCTTCTTATTTGGATTATAGGTATTTTCACTATTTTGAATTCCAAAATAAACACATAAATCTTCAACTATATCCAGAAAGGTGTTATAAAGCTTCAACCACACATTCTCTCTCTCTGTCTCTCTCTCTCTCTCTCTCTCTCTCTCTCTCTCTCAACCACACAACACGCGCAAACAAATCCAGCGACTAGTACCCGATGAGTACGAGAAATAATAGAAATAAATCATCAACATTGATATGCATATGCATTGCGTTTGTAACTGTGTAACTACTCACACAAATACATTCAATTGTGTAGGAAACAATAACAATCCATTTAAACCTATGAAATAATTAACACACGTTGGGCCATTTTATTCATGTTATATGTGTTACAGGGAAGTAATTTAATGCAATTTTTAGTCATAAATGTAGCTGCTACATCACAACATACAAAAGTAACATGTTAATCACCACGTGGCCTTAGTTAAATTTGTGAGTATTACAGAATGTTACAACATTATTTTAATGGCCATTCATGTTTAAAACGAATAATGATACCTTTCTGATAGGATTAATATTTATATATGTCAAAAAATGGAATATTTTTCTCATGTCAAAACATTAGTGATCAATATTTCAATAAACTCTTGACTATTCGGTTTGATCACTATTCACAATGCATGTTAGAATAAAACGAAACCAGGCCCAGATAGGTCGTTTATTACGTCAGGACACTGTGAGGTATAACCCCGCACGTGCAAGTTTTCCTGCCGAAGCTCATCGATTCTCACCGGGCATTTTTCTTTCCTCCACCAATAAAAACTAGCCGTCACGAAATAGCCAAAAGTGCTGAAAGTGGCGTTATATACAATATAATCAATCAAAAAATGTGCAGAGCTTGGCACTCATTCTACACGTGGCATTGGATGTAACGTTCTAATTTTGACTTAATTTTCACATCTCGCAAAGTTAAACGGATGCCCAACTTTGGCAAGGGTTTTATTGCAAACAGAAGAATACCAAGGTGACCAACTATGTATATATCCTTGTCACCCTTGGGGTTCCATCCTAAGATGTTGGTAATAAAGGAACTGTGTTTTCAAATAGACACAACATCACTCTTCAGACACAGAGTAAACAATTTCATAATGAGATAAACAAGTCATTGGAACATTGGTTTCAACTTCCTCAGGCAAAGTTGACCTTAGATGGATTTGTCTTTTTTTTTTTTTGGTCCTTTTTGGTTATATCGCTCTTTAACTGTCTAGGTTCTTATACATCCTTGGGTTTCATATATTCGGCTTTGAGCGTTCCTGATGAAGGTAAATCTAGAAAAAGGCCTTTCGGAAGCATGAAATTTATAACGTGTTGTTTTCATTTTTTACAGTACTGAGTCGATACCTCTGGCACTGACTACTCAGTTGATGATACCCTCGGGGACTGTTAGTCCACAGCAGAGGTATCGACCAAGTGTTGCATAAATCAAAACAACACTTTATAAATTCCTTTCGTTCAAAGAACTTTTCTGGTTTTACCTTTATCAGGAACGCCCAAAGCCGAATATTTGAAAGCCAAGGATGTATAAGAACCGAAACAGTTGAAGAGCTATATGACCAAAAAATAATAGCCACATCCATAAAAGGTCAACTTTGCCTGAGGAATTTGAAAATAAGTTTCTTTATCTTTTCTTAATTTATAAACGGACAATTTAAAAAAAACGATTTGTTATAAATCATGTCAGTAAAGAAGTGCTGACTACTGAGTTGCTGATGATACCTCCGAAGTATAAAAATAACAAAAAAAACATATGCACCCAAAATAATACTGAGCAAAGGGCAAAAATTATTTGTACCACAGATATAATTTCTGAATCTTAATATGTGGAGATTTAAGGTGATATAATTGTTCTGAAACTTAAAATTGAGATATTAATTCGTTATTTGAAATCTTCAGCTGAGATATTGTGCTTCTTCAGCTGAGATATTGTGCTTCTTCATCTGAAACAATTAATTGAGGTCCTAGTGTTCTGATTATTTAAACTTTGATATACCATTATTCATTTTCTTTGGAATCAATTGAGATACTATTGACAACTATTAATCTTCAATGTGTGTTCTTACAAAAAATCTTTAAAAATATTTAAGAAAACAACATTTTGTTTTCCATTCGTTTGATGTGTTTGAGCTTTTAAATATTGCCATTTGTTACGAGATTCCGTTTTGAATTTTTCTTGGAGTTCGGTATTTTTGTTATTTTACTTTTAAGAAAAGCTATCTCCTTAATTTTTAACTTTTAAACAATTTCAATTTCTACATATTGTACATTCCAAAACGTAGTTTCATAACAATCACAAGTTAAACCATACCAGATTTCTTCTTATTTGGATTATAGGTATTTTCACTATTTTGAATTCCAAAATAAACACATAAATCTTCAACTATATCCAGAAAGGTGTTATAAAGCTTCAACCACACATTCTCTCTCTCTCTCTCTCTCTCTCTCTCTCTCTCTCTCTCTCTCTCTCTCTCTCTCTCAACCACACAACACGCGCACACAAATCCAACGACTAGTACAATGTGTACGAGAAATAATAGAAATAAATGATCAACATTTGAAATGCATATGTATTGCGTTTGTAACTGTGTAACTACTCACACAAATACATTCAATTCTGTGGGAAACAATAACAATCCATTTAAACCTATGAAATAATTAACACACGTTGGGCCATTTTATACATGTTATATGTGTTACAGGGAAGTAATTTAATGCAATTTTTAGTCATAAATGTAGCTGCTACATCACAACATACAAAAGTAACATGTTAATCACCACGTGGCCTTAGTTAATTTTGTGAGTATTACAGAATGTTACAACATTATTTTAATGGCCATTCATGTTTAAAACGAATAATGATACCTTTGTGATAGGATTAATATTTATATATGTCAAAAAATGGAATATTTTTCTCATGTCAAAACATTAGTGATCAATATTTCAATAAACTCTTGACTATTCGGTTTGATCACTATTCACAATGCATGTTAGAAAAAACGAAACCAGGCCCAGATAGGTCGTTTATTAGCATTTGCCAGCTGATCTGTATAACAATAAATACCATGGCATTTTTATGTAACATGTAGTCAACGTGAACGCTGATTTTAATTTCCCTCCTTATTTCCTGTGTATAATTCCAATTCCTCTTTAGAAAAAACATTAGACGTTGATTTCTTGTTTCTTCCTCTTTACCATGTTTACACACCAATATATCTTGTTTCGTTATTACTAGAATTTCAATGTACATGTATTTAAGGTTTGGAAAAATGAAAATTCAAATACAGCAATCTTTCCTCTGAATTTTCCATTTGGGTTGTTCCATAATTTTTTGAGTAATTTGCTTGTCTGTGTTTGATAATTGACATTCTGGATAATTTTATCCGAAATATATTCGCAGATTTTCAATGGTGTCTTGTTTCAAGAATATATTTTCTTTTGAATAGTAAAGTTTCTTAAGTCACACACTTTCAGTTTCTGGGAAGAAACATATCTACACAACACATTTGTGATTATTTGTCGATTCCGAGCGGGTATTACTTCATATGCTGTAAAATTTACGAATGACTAACAATGTTAATATCATTTGACCATATTTTTTACTTAGCCTATGTTAGGCGCAAATAAGCTGGATTGAGCCGATAGTTCGTCATGATATAGCTTCACCAAGAGAAACACATTTCATTATTTGAAAAATATCTTAAATGTTACATCATCTTTTATTCGTTTTTACAGTTCTGCACATTGACTACAAATCATTACGAAAAAATGGATATTCATTTTAATATACTTGGTCGGTAAGTCTTTATTTTTGAGATACATGAATATTTAATGCAAACCGATGTAAACAAGCTCTAAATATTGGAACAGTCTTGTCGTTGAAAGTATCATTGCAAAAAATCTAAATAAGTATAGACATCAGGAAATAATCCTAGGAATGATGCATTCGAACAACTGTGAGCATTCCTATAAATTTTAATTTTATATTTTCAAAAATCTAACTGTATCATGGATCAGATTAAATGAAACTGTTTAGATAAAACACTAAAATATGGGTAAAATATTGATACAGTAAGAAAACACATACATGCATTGCTTTCTTTTGATATAAGTGTGCAGCTTTGCTATGTATTTTCATAGACTTTTTGATAAACACGCATTCATATATGATAGGGTTGAATCGTCAGTTTTGTTATCGGCTGTTAAAATATCCGCCTTTATTATCATGCAATTTGTAATTTCAGGTGGACAATATGAAAGACTTTTGTGATGTTGCATAAAGTGTTATTTTTCTGTGTAAGTCATTGTTATTTAACTCTATAGTGAAGTGTTTTTCATTAAATGAATTTCATAAAGGAGAAACAACTGATAACTGTTGGTAAAAAAGATACCGTAACCCAACCATGAATAAGAAGCATACATACATGTAGATGATTTAAATTTTACAAAATTTAAAACAACATCGGTTGTGATCATCCGTTTCTCAGATACATTAAGCGATATGCGATAGATAATAATAATAATAATAATAATAATAAATTCTTTATTTAAAGAGGGTAAACTCAGTTAGTTACAATAAACTAATCTTCCCTGAGGCCCTCACATACAAATTACAATACAATCAAAAACAGATATTTACACATAGTTAATTTACAGTCAATTAGTTCAATGTAATATTAATAACATGATAAGATATAAGGCTGTTCAAGATGCACATGTAGTCAAAAAATCAAATAAAAATAAAAATAAAAGAATATACAAATACATTGTAGAAAACATAATCTTATCAGGACTGTGTTAAGTACTTCTTGATACTTTGTTTAAAAGTATAATATACAGCTAGTTTATACTAGCTGTATATTATACTTATGACTATATTAGGTGAAAAGAATCGTTTTGTGTGAAGATTTCTGTCAAACAGGGCGCATCTGACCATGACTTCCTTTTTTATGGTACATTAGTCAATGCTATGTTACCTAATTAGATCCGTACCAAAGATATTATAAGCAATAGGTCAACTAAACTAGCTGTATCTACTAACTGTAAGGTGCAACTGTCCATCTATTAAGGTTCAACTAACCTTCCCCTCATCTGTTGGTTTGTCTGTTATTTTTTTTTACCATGAGTAATAGTATGCTCACTTTATTTTGTTAATAGAATTCGATTGTTGGAAAGATGTACATGTAGACTAAGCCGGCTAATGATAAGATGAAGTTAACCTTATTTTCAGGCTGCATTGGTCAAGTTAAGCATTAATTCTAAGTCCTTAATTTTACCATATATATAAATTTGTGTTATTTGGTTTTAGGTTGATTAATAATTGATTCACAGACAAATATTTTGGTTTTCCACTTATTTTATCATTTTTACGGGAATTTCTAGAAAAAGGCGTTGTGTATTAAAAACACGCCACTAAGGATGCCTTGTTCGCTAGTCTTGTTTTTCACTAATTGTCAGATATTCGGAATCGTCTTGTTTTTTCAATATAGTGCAGTCAAAAACTTTGCCCGCTAACCACTTGTTTTTCTTTTCAACCATTTTTGAAATCTCATAAAATCCTTGCCATTTTTTCATACTTTTTGAAACAAAAAAGATCCCGGTAGTAAATGTATTTAAATTCTCGAATGAAGATAAATCGTTCTAAAACACCTGCCAGTTGTATCCCCCATTTTTTTTTTTAGCAAAAAAGGAAAATATATGTTTTAGCATATACATTAAATATTGTCAACAAACTCCTTAGTTGGTCCGAGTACACAGTTATCGTCCTTTGATTTTCGTTGTCCACGAATAAAGTCCCTAGTGTGGACAGTGTGTTGCTTGCCAATTTTTTTAGTACCCCTTCCAAATGTATTCCTTCATGTTTTATGCCTCAAATAGCAAGTAGGGGGATGAAATTACACTGTAAAAAAATTTGGGTCATGAATTGTAAAGTTAAGTAGTGATTTGGTCCAGCTGAAAAAGGTTAAAAATTAGCACTTCGGAAGCTGTCAAAAGATTTCAAGACCCCCTTAACATAGAATTGTCCATATTTTGAGTTAGAGCCGATGAAGTTTTCTATAATTTTGATATGATTTGTCCCAAAAGTAGTACAACACACTGTAAAAATATTATTGAGAAAGCGCAGGTGGGATTTTTTTTATTTTCATTTATTGTCTAAAAGAAATGCACTACGAAATAACTGTGTACTCGGACCTAAGAGGCGAAATCAGTAAATATAGAATCTGTACTTTGGCAACTTCCCTGAATGATTTAATGGTGTCAATTTGTCAAATAGCATGAAACTAAAGGATTTAAACTTTTACTTGATGGAAATTCTGCAAAAATTATCCATTTTGGCATTATATGGTCAAAATAATCATTTCAAAGCTTTTTCAATTTTGATGCATAAGTGGCATTCTGACTTTCTATGTGACAGGTTTTCCTGTGTCAATATTTGTGTTTCTATGCTTTAACCCAGTTGTATTACTCATTTGTGAACTCTGAATCTATAGAAAATAAGATTATCTCAGACAATATGTGCAAAATGTGTTGTATAAATGACCCTCGTGTAACGGCCTGTTTGGATCAAGTTAAATGTGAGGACCTAGGTACATAAAAGTTGAAGTCCATAATAAAGATTTCACTTAATTTGTATTAAAAGCACTTCACAATGTCTTTTGTACCTGTTTCATTTCACATAGTATCTTTCTTTTCTTATGTTAAATAGCAAGTGGTTCAAATATAAGCCTGCTGAGGCTAAAATTGCATGCAAGTTTTTCACTAAAAAGTGAAAAATCTTTGTATCAGACCATACTGTCTGCAAAAAAAGTTGAATGCAAGAGTCCTTTTATGCTCAGATTTATTGTATCATGTAACCTGAGTATAGAAATTATAAAAAAGACACAAATTTTTATTTCCTATAGCTTCAGTATGCATTTTTAAATGTAAATATGTGCTACGGCCTAAATTGACCCTAAATTATTTTCAGTCTTACTTGGCTTAAGACCCTTTTATACTAATACGGTATGCTATTTGTAATTTTTCTTTCCATTTAAAGTACATTTAATACATATGTAAGGATTATTTATAACCAAAAAACTCCACAAATTTAAAATTGCTGGAAAATAATACATCTTCATGTAAGGCCCCCCTTCATTGGAAAACCTCCATTTTTTGGCACAGGCTCATATAAATTTGACTTTTAAATAATTGTGATAAGTCTGATAAATCAAATGAGTATTCTATTGCTTTAAATAGATAATATGTCATATATTAAGGCCTTTAAAATGTAATTTTTTGCAATATTTTGATTTTTAAAGCCCCAAATGTTGATAGTTGAAATTTTTCAATTTAAACGTCAAAATTTAACACGCGAAGTTGAATATAGAATTTATCATATTGTCTATAATATATATCCTATTGCCATGAAACTTTGTCAGCAGTCTCATAATTTATTAAGCTTTAGTCATACCAAGTTTTATTAAGATTGGTCAAATTTTTCTATCCTATTAGGTCCGAGTACACAGTTATCGTCCTTTGATTTTCGTTGTCCACGAATAAAGTCCCTAGTGTGGACAGTGTGTTGCTTGCCAATTTTTTTAGTACCCCTTCCAAATGTATTCCTTCATGTTTTATGCCTCAAATAGCAAGTAGGGGGATGAAATTACACTGTAAAAAAATTTGGGTCATGAATTGTAAAGTTAAGTAGTGATTTGGTCCAGCTGAAAAAGGTTAAAAATTAGCACTTCGGAAGCTGTCAAAAGATTTCAAGACCCCCTTAACATAGAATTGTCCATATTTTGAGTTAGAGCCGATGAAGTTTTCTATAATTTTGATATGATTTGTCCCAAAAGTAGTACAACACACTGTAAAAATATTATTGAGAAAGCGCAGGTGGGATTTTTTTATTTTCATTTATTGTCTAAAAGAAATGCACTACGAAATAACTGTGTACTCGGACCAGTTGATCGCCATTTGCTTACCCCTAAGTCTTGCTAAAATTAATTTCTACTTGTCCCAACCTACAGACACTATTCAATGACAATTCAAACATTTGTTTGTATGTTTCATGTCAATAATAATTAAATGATGTCTGTCCGTTCTTTCACTCTGCATTTTTTTGTTGTTGAACATGTTTACACAAAAGAATTTAAAAAAAAGAAAAAAATCCAAATGATAAAAGGAAATATGAAATGTCAAAATAAACACGAAGGGACAGATTATTCGGTCTATATACATGATATAGATGTTTAACAGTTTTCGCAAATGTCAATTAATATCTGTTCTGGAAGTTTTTTCAAATTTTCGTACACAGTTTTATTATTTTGAAGACAGAACATGCAAAAATGCTGACATCTTGTAAAAATAAGAAATTGTTTTTTCATCGTGATTGACGGAATTGCACATTACGTATTGTTTACAACAGGGCGAAAAAGATGGCACAGATATTATATCTTTGTCAATGAATCGTAATGATTCAGCCGTATGTTAGGTGAGTCCATTAAATTTGAAATTCTAAGTATAATGTCACTCATCAATAACCTCTTAATCCCCATAAACTCGTTTCATATATTACTTTAAACAGTGTAAAGTAATGAAAATAAGATTTTTACACTTTTAAGTTACAGTTATAATAAATAATTATACCAGCTTTGATAGGATTTGTTTTAAAATTTATGTCTTCCGTATTGATCTTGAGGAAATATAAACATATATTTTATTCCATATAAGTATTTGTCATATATATTCTATGCGATACCTCTAGTCTTCCAACACATTATTGAGCTTACTTATCATTCATGCTGTAGTCTTGTTGTCTTCATCAAGTTCGTGTATTATTTTTTTTTACTTAGCAATAACTGTACTCTTTTAGTTTTTGTTTTTATAAATCATTACCTTTGTCTATTTATTTGATCGCATTCATCTTTTTTCTAATCTAAATAATAGGATGAAATAGTATATTAATGTAAACTAAATTGAACTATTTTTTTTTTACTTAGCAATAACTGTACTCTTTTAGTTTTTGTTTTTATAAATCATTACCTTTGTCTATTTATTTGATCGCATTCATCTTTTTTCTAATCTAAATAATAGGATGAAATAGTATATTAATGTAAACTAAATTGAACTACATGTTTTTCTAAGGTTTTTGGAATGTGTAGTTCTTTCAAACTGAAATGTCCAGATCATTCACAGTGGTCTTTGAGAGCCAGAGCATTATGTCCATCTGATCCATCAAAGTATTCCTGTATTCAAAATGAACATATTAAAGGATATACTGAAGATTGTTCAGTAGCTAAATTTGAAAGAGGAGGTTTGTTCATTTCTAAAGTATTCTACTTTGCAGAACATCTTTCTTCAATGCGAAGTATCGATATGCAAGCCGGTTTTTACTGTTTAATAGTATACAAACTTTTTTGAACTAATGCATTTAATTGCTGACTTTTTGTACAGTATAAATAAAATCAATTTACGATAAAATCAAAAGAGGTACACGAAAGCCTGTAATTTCATTTCTCCGTAACATTAAAGAATACTCTTAGAAACACAATTGAATATACTGATATACTGTACCTTTATGTGAAGATGCAGTCATATGAAAAAGTTACAGCAACAAACGATTTGATTGTAAATACTCTAAATTCAATTACTTGAAAACAAACATTAAAATTCACAGATTGATTGATGCATATAGTGTTCGACAAATCAAAACCTTTTCTACGTTCATCCGTGCCAAAAGCCATATGTAAAGTATACTCTCCTGGTTAGTTTGTTTTTCTCGGTGTATATGTTTGTTTTTTGGACAAACTGCCCAAAAGCACATCGGAACTCAGAAAACTATATACACCAAAAAATTTTAAAACAAGTTTACGATTTAAGAACTCTCGTGTAAGTAAACAGAGTGAAAGAAAGACGAAATTCAACATGGAATATTTAAAGTAAACTATAGGTTGAAGGTATGACCACTTCGACGGAAAATGAGCAGGTCCTTCCATACGTTTAGCTTATACTGCTTATAAATACGCTTTTTAATCATTTGAAGGCATGAAGATAATCTTACGTGGTAATTTGGATGCGGGACCGTGTTCTGAAGAACGATACCAACCCGGCCAAATGAAGTATTTAACAAATATTAGCAGTGAATGTATATTTTCCAAATCACAATGTTATGAAGAAGGTCAAATTTTATATGATCAAGGAAGTCCTACTCAAGATGTAAAGTGCAGATGTGACTTTACACAAAACTACGACTTCATTTGTAGAACAAATGCTTCTAGATATTGCAAACCTTCTGAAGAAGATTGTTCTTGCTTTAAAAAGCAGTGTCCGACATATAATGAACTCTCAACAGGTGCTTATATTTTATTTATTTGAAGAAAAATATTGAAATATGTTGACAGCTTTACAGTTTTAATTACTTACATTGCATTACCATTTTTATTTTTCTATTGTATTTATGAATAACAGAATTAAAAATTTTCAGATGATTCAATTTGAATTATTTCAGTAATTATTAACTTCCTTAGTATTATTAGGTTTATTTTTTCTAGGTAATACAAATCATTTTCTTGCTTGCCAACTCACTCTCTTTCTCTATACACATATACATATTTTCAGATTATTCATGCATTTTAACACCTACAGTAGCAAAGGATACACTGACGAAAACATTAAGGTAACTCATCGAAAGCAAAATTGAATAGTAATGAACAGATGTGGTCTCGGGTAGTATAGCAAATTTAAACTTTAGTTGTGGAGATTTACTTCATGTAGAGTATCGAGTATCGAGTTATGAAAGTCGAGTTGCGAGTTACAAAAGTGTTGCGAGTTGAAAAAGTCGAATTGAAGAAAAGTGTATCACTAGTAAATGAGCGGACGGTCATTTAAATTCTGAATGAGAACTACCGATATTCGGAAAGAAAACTTGCATTTCTAGTAGTTGAAGATCGGAGTCAAACGCACCTTGATACGATCACAACATCAGTTAATATACATATTGTATTTATCGGCAATTTGTACATTTTCCGTTTGAGCACTGCCTAATATTTCAAGATCATGGACAGGACTTGATACTAGAAAATATTAGGCAATGACGTCGTGTATCAGTGCAGAAACGTCACGTGCTCAGGTCCATCCGCGTCAGTTTATCAATGAAATGCACGCGACTTCATTCATTCAACCGAACAACTATCCAAACGTTTTGTACGCGTAAAAGAAGTTTAACTATTTCATTTTACTTCATATTCTGAACCAAATAAAACATACAGTTAAGACAAATTGCTGATAAAAAGATAAATGGCATTTTATTTTTTGATACTGACTTCATCAGCTCGAATATCAGCTCGCCCTAGCGTGCTCGCTTGATATTCTTGCTGATAAAGTCAGTATCAAAAACAAAAATGCCATTATTCTATATATATATGAATGAAATATAATCTGACACTTGTCTGAGTTTAAACAAATAATCTAGCTGTCTATAAGTATTGTGTTTCCTTTTGTTGTTTCAATGCTAAACCTGGAAATTTTATAGAAAATCCCCAGCCTTTCCCATGTGTACTCTTATATTTTACAATTCTGTTTTTACAAGATAGAGGATTACTACATCTAGTTCTAGCAATAATTTCCCCAAAACTAGTTTTTATATCAAGATATCAGTTGAAACAGATGAACATATGGACCAATTTAAGTACACCTTCTAGGGTTCTCCTAACTTTAATGACTCAGCAAGAGGTTATTTCGGATTGTAAAGATTGTTAAGGACATTTTGTATACAATACACTCTAGCACAACATGGACAAACAATTGGATTATCTATGTTTCAAATGCTATAACGCTTTTCTCTGTAATATAGTATGGGATGATATTTTACAGTTTCTTAATTGTTTCAGACAAAAAACTCACGGAACTAATTTTAGAATTAAATCTGACAGCAAGATTGATTTAAATCATGTCATAGCGATTTACTACATGCTACAATTGGGACCAAAATGCCAACACATTTTATACTATCGAAGAAAAATATAAAAGATCGTTTTTGTACAAATTATAATCCTTATTTATGATTTATCTAAGACGAACAGAACAACTGGTTAACGATTGTTATATTCCTGACTTTTGGTACAGGCATTTTCCAGAAGAAGAAAAATGTGGTTTGTACCCTGAGAGGAGTCAGTTTCCAAATATTTTAAAAGTGGTATACAAAAAATGTTCTGCTATAATAGGTACTCCCCTTTTGCACCATTAAATATAAGGGAAAGAAAGTGTGGTTCAAGAATTCTCTGTGTCATCTATGTCCTGCTACCAAAAAACAAAAACACACAAAATGTCTTTTCTATTTAATCTTATATACGTATATGATGGATTTGGAAAAGTTAATAGTTAATGTGCTTTTCAAATTTCATGCATTTTCTTTTATTGATTAATGAATACTGGTTCATTTTTTACATCCGCCAGGGCACATGCACAATGATATGCCCGTTTTATCCACTCAGTCTTTGTATTTGCCAAGACATATATGACTATTGACCCTTCACGATGATGCTTGATCAAGTGTGCATTTAATTAAATACAGTGATAACACTGCTTGCAGTAATCCTATATCTATTAAGTACATAATTGTACAATATAAGAGTACATGGGGAAAGACTCTGGATTTTCCAAAAAAAGTTCCAGGTTTAGCATTTGAATAACAAAACGGTACATAATACTTAAAGCTAAGACAGGTTGATCATATGCTTCAACTCTAACAAGGGTCAGAATATATTTTATTTATTTAGGACAGAATATCTATTAGAAGGTTGTGAACGTAGAAAAGTGCGTTCGACTCCAATCGCAATTGATTAGGAATGCCAGTCCCCCTCCCCCTCAAGGTCGGTAGTTCTCTTCGGGTACTCCAACTGTGCAATGTACCTCCATGTCTAAATTTAAAGCAGGACTTATTCAGTTTACAGTGTTAAAAGTGGCGTTAAAACAAACAACAAATAAACTTATTTAATTTTCAAAAGAAAACTTCAAGGCGTGCATTCAGAATTTATATGACCGTCCGCTTAATTACCAGTGATATGAATCATTTATATTTTTATTTTGAGACTTTCTTAATCCGCAACTCGACTGACTTAACTTGTCACTGTCACTCGACTTTTGTAACTTGCAACTCGAATTTTATTACTCGCAACTCGACTTTTGTTACTTGCAACTCGACTTTTGTATTTCGCAATTTTCTCTTTATTTACTGGTAACTCGACTTTCTCAGCTCAACACTTGAAACTCGACAATAAGAAACTCTTTTCAGTATGATTCATATCAAATTCCTATCGGAAATAAAGATTAATGTTGAACTTAATTTACTGTGAACTGACAAAGGAAACACGCCATTGCGCAACACAAATCTAACTGAAATATGATCAAATCAATATAAATTTATACGTCTAAATATGTGACAACTTTACGGCAGACGTTCTTCATCGGATAATTTGTGGTTATACAGGGCTAACACTATAGTTTATATATACATTTATATTTCGTATCAAATTTACCGCAACAATATATGTTAGATCTGCAAATTTGCGTTAACAAATCTTTGTTCTTCCCACATCGAGATTTGTTCCCTGGATCTGAGACATTATGGCAACACCGCCTGCTCAAAAGCACTCGACCAACAAGCCAATATACAAATAGCTTTCATTAGACAAGTCGGCTTTATCTAGGGTTATAACACAGTACATGATGTATAGTGGCAGGTAGATGGTATACCTTGCAGATCAGCTGTTTTGTAACACGGTTGGTAAGGTTAGTGGAATTGATTCATTGTAATAGAACGGCAATAAAACCATCTTTATGTTGCTTAATATTTCAGTCATACGTTATACGGACATCGCAAGGTAATTTACAAAGATTCTTGTTTCGCAAAAGTAGTGTAAATCTGCAAAAAATGTCCCGATAATGTGCTGGTGATTAGAAAATATGATCTGATTTTGTGCTCTTTATTTTAGAGTAAAAAGTGAAAAATATTCAAGATCTATGAAGCAGAAAATTGTATAATTAATAGAAACGAAAACTAGCTTTCATTTGGCAAATACAATAAAAAGGAAATATCTTTCAGCCTTTGCCCTTTACACCCTTTTCCATAGAATAATTTATAGAAAGCCAATGAAAGATCAAAGAAAGCCATAAGGGTCTGTTGATCAATGTGTTCTGAAAGGATAATGACAGTTCTTTGTTGGTGAACGTGTTATTTAGAATTGGACCTAATTGGATGATTAATTGTTTATGACGACCAAGTCTCGAAAACGATGAACTGGACATATTGCTGGTCGTCTGTGTTATCGATTCATTTTGACGGTCAACCAGCTGGTCATAATGGCAACCATATTACTTTGTAACAATGATATTAAAATTTGACATTGGGTGGCTTTGAGTAATGGCTAAAGGCATAATGTATTTTTATATTGCAGAAACGAATCAGTGCAGCCGTTTATTGTACAAAGAAATATCACACAACGAGGTATGCATTCTAGTTTATAAAAATTGTCTCCTGTACTGTAAACATAGTTTACATGTACAAATAGTTAAACATGTATCAAATAAATGTGATATGTTGTTCCCTTTACCTTGTAGGTCCACTAACAAATGAAAAAAGAATGAAATACCTACTTTTGAAACAATAGGGTTTAATTTCCTTTTGTTGACATTTTACCTTTTATGCAATTTGAATACTAAAAAAATAATATCTTATAGAATACAGTACCTCGTAGTATATAGTTACCTAATGTCTTCAAATATGTTGGATGATAAATGTTCTGCTATAATTATAATAATTTCCATGTTTTGACAGAAAAGTTAAACCTATCACCATGTACAGCAATTCTTATCATATTAACTATACTTGGTGAGTATTAAATCTATCTTATTAGACTTTTGATTTTATATAAGGTAATATATTCACACAGTTTAACAACTGATTAATTGAAACCTTATGCTTTGCTACATAATGGAGGTTATTTTGAAAACACGTGTCTTGTGCACTGACATCGAAATCACACGTTTATATTACTACCATTTGGATAATATGACTGCTGGTTTACTGCCAATCCCTGCGGATATACCTTTTTCAGTCATTTGCTTTATTACTGCAATGGTTCTAATGATAATAAATTCTAACTGCACTTTTCAACCTAAGAAAAGATAAGCAATTGGAATTTGCAAAGTTAACTCAAGATTGCGCTCACCGATCTTTTGACCTTTGGACTTGATTTTTTAGCGGTTTTTTTTCTTGGTCGCTCCTGATAAAGATGTGTCCAGAAACATGTGCCACTCATATATTTATATAAAAGTAAGCTTAAATAACATTTTCCTCAATCAAAGGTTAGCATATTTTTCTTGTTTATTTAGATTATTTATATGCTATGCCAATTTCTCTCGTCATCTTATTATTATCCCATTATCTTTTTATTTTTATAATAACCAAATATTTTGTATATGAAATTACAATTAGTAAAAACATGTCCTTTATAAGTGCATTATTATAAAAAAAAAAAGATAATGGTAATAGACATGGAAAAATAAAATTACTAATTAATTGTTGAGAAAAAGAAATTGATAAAAAAATATAGAACGAAAATAGACTGGTAATTAAAGCAAGATATAAACACCAATATGAATAAAATATACAAATGGGACACTTGATAATATAAAACACAATCTCCTTCCATACCTTTGTTCTCAAAACCAGTAAGCTGCTACTTGTTTTTTATAGCCTTTCCTTTGTCACTGCTGCTTTGTTATGATCAGAGGATAGACAAGCTTATTGACCATGTTGACAGACAGGTTCGAAAAGGTATATAACCTGAAATTTGAGAATAATTTTCATCTTCACTATTATTATCTAAATATTATCATCAGTCATTTGTATATGTATTGACACTTTAGTTTTTGCTTCGCATAACGATGCACAGCTATTTGTTTAATACGATATACACGCCATCCCATCTTGAAATGATAACGTACCACACCACAAGTTAGTTCTGATTGGTGTCCTGGAGATGCTGCTTTGATTCTATTTGCTTTTATAAATTAATACATTTGGAATTCCGTACGGAAAGGAGAAGAGTTTATACACGGAATATCAGAATCCGGATTGAATAAACTAGCATGTGTTCGATGAATCAATAAATTAGATTGCGTCGGATATACATTGTTGAATAAGCGCCGATAGTCTATATTTATCTTTGTATCATTACGCATTCCTTTTGCTTAATCTTTATTCACAACGCTGTTAAGTAATGTGTCAGATAATATTCGAAATGAGATGTAAACAGCTCGGTTTACTGATGCACGTACTCAGTGCTGACCGATATGTAATTATTCATGTTATAAGTAATTTGTTAGTCTATCATAGTATGAAATAAAGGAAATATGTGTCTAGCACGTGAACCTAAGTAGTGAGTACAACACAACAATGATTTACGATGATGATTGATGATTGATTATTGCTGTTAAACGCCCCTTTCTGCTTACAAGCAAGGATAGTCCATATAAATTAAATGATTTTAGTGCAAGTTCTCCAACTATAAATTAGAAATCAAACATAAAATTGCCTATTTGTACACACCTCAGGAGAGTAAAACACTTAATTATTTCCTTTCCTCGAAATGATATTTTGTTCTCGAGCTATATTTATTTTCCACCAAATATAATTCCATCACAGGAGATGTATTTGAATAAACGGTTGGTATAGTGTTCTGTTAGGATCGTTTTTTTTCTCGAGTGACTATGCTTTTGTGTGAATATATATGTTGCAAAATGTAAATAAACAGACATCTTTTCTAGTTCGATGCAAAATCGAAGCTTAGAACAAATATAAAGGTATTTTAGAACTATGTAATAAACATTTTGTTATCAAGAACACATCATTTGAAGTTATACAATTTGAATATGCATCCTTACAATGTTTTTATCCAAAATGTGAAAAAAACCATTTTAATACGGATACGAATATACCAAATAAAAAAAACTGCGCTATATATAATATATAATTCTTTAATTATCAAAATAAGAACATGTGGTATGATTGCCAATGACACAATAATAGCAAAGATCTGCCTTTAATAGACAATATACAGAAGTACTTGCATTTGGATTTCTCTAATTCTTACCCGATTTGTCCTTTTCCTGACCTGTTAATTGTTTTTATTTAATCAACGTGTGGTTAGATCTCAGTTCTTCATTGGTCAAAGTTTTGATTATGACGTCAAATTGTCTTGCTTTCCTCTGCATTTCGTATTGTGACGTCATGAAAAAAGGCGACCATGCCTGATGACGTCACATAGAAAGAACACATCTTTTTGCAAATGATTCGAAATAAGGATTAAGATTGTCTGTATCGTCAAAAATTCATTAGAGAAACAGATTCTACCACCAAATCTCGTGAAATACGTTATTTATACACTCTCGACATTAAAATTTCAAATATTCAAAATCGCTTGGCGAGCCACGCGTTTTAAATTTGAAGATTTTACTGTCTCGAGTGGATAAATATCGTATCACACTTGATGCAATGGTAGAATCTATATGAATACGGTCATTTTGTGATTAAAACAAGTATTTGTCCGAGTTTTATCCAGTCAATAAACAATATTGCGACAAGTTGAAATTTGATCTATTACTGCATTTACGTTACAAAAAATGAAAATCTAGAAAAAAAGTACATTCAGAAAAAAAAAAAAGTCGATACACAACAAGTACTTTGACAAACTTCGTCCAACATTGTACAGGTTGTTTTGTTTACATCTATTTTAAACATATATTTGTGTATTTTTTTTACAGAAAACACAGACTTGTCGTTTTCATTTAAAAGATTTTATGATGTTCAAAATTATTTTTTTATCTATCCAGCAATGGAAAAAAAGAACACTGTACTAATGTTATTATTGTTAAGATGAGTCCGATCTGGCAAATGTAATACTCAGTCGTGCAGTACAAAATAATTAGTTACATAGTGTGCTGGTGACCTTATACGGTATATATGGGGTCAGTAAATTCCATATGGGGTGAAAGCGAAGCTCGAATCCCCATATGGAATTTACTGACCCCATATATACCGTATTACGTCACTAGCACACTATGTAACGAATTTATCTTACCGACTATCTTAACGTGTCATATTTAGACTAGTGACCTATCAAAATGAGCAGGTCTTCAATACCGTTAGCATTAAGAAACTACTTCCATTGATCATACAAAAACAGTTGCCAACAATAACAACTTGTTAGCTTTAAATGTGTTTTATGAATTTATTTCAATCTTCATCAATTACTTCGTCTGTTGAATCCTTTAAGATTTTTTCTCAGTACCGTTTTGTTTTTATAAAGGGACGTAACACCACTACTAACCGTGTATTAAAATAAGCTCCGCCTCCCTTCTAATCTAATATGGAATATACACGGTCTCCACGCGGACGCTTTTAACCAATCATATTCCTAGAAATGTATAGGAGGTAAGATAAATCATGATATCTTGCTCTATTCTTTTGTTGATCTTTTTTACAAAGTAATATATGACAAATATGACATATTGACATCACAGGAGCTTCATATTTCCATATACGTCCAATGACAGCTTAGGACGACATACTTGAATTAGATATCCATGAAGTGTTTTTGTTAGATACGAAGACATATGTTTCTAAGAATAAAGGTGATAAAGGTGTACACCAATGAGACAGCAACGCTAAGAAAAAAACCATAAAGCATGTAGAGGGCAACAGTCGTCAGTCGTTAACAATATCCATGTGTCTATACAATATACTAAAATTGGAAATAAATTAAACAAAAGCAATCAAACATCTTGAATTAACACATCCATGCAGTTTTGATAGTTTTTGAGGGTTCGTGCTGCTCAGTCTTCTGTGTTCTCTATGTTTTGTTATTACTGATTGTTCTTACTGATTGCTCTTTCATGTTTTTGGCCATGATGTTGTCGTCTGTTTTTATAGGACTTATGATTCTTAATGTCCCCTATAATTGGTGTCTTATTTTTTTTTTTAATTTGAGAAGGATTTAATCTTCTTACCATTGTCGTGTTAGTTTCGTTATTTTTTAAAGGGTTTCATTTAAGGTCTAAAGTTATTTGATAAATTGTGTATTATTTTTTTCTATTCAAATTGTGTATTATTTTTTTCTATTCAAACTGTGTTAATTATTTAAATTAAAATTTAAGCGGGCGAATAATAATAAAAAATAGGTACATGCTAACAACGAAGCAAGCATACACAAATTCATTAGCCTCCTGTCGTTAGTTCTATTGAACGTTATGGTTCCATAGAACTGCGAGCGTACGTAAAATGTACTCACAGAAGGTTGGAAATTATAAAGAGATTAATTTGATGAACATTATAGATATATGTTTTGGGGTTCCGTAAATGAATATGTGTAATTGTCTTTCGCTACATTACAGTAATGGAATAAGAAAGGTAAGTTTTAAAGGTCCCGAATGCCTTATTTCATCATATTTTCTTGAGAAGAACCAGGACCAGTTTTGTAAATACCCTGACAATGTGACAGCTTTGAGCGTTCCTGATGAAGGTAAATCCAGAAAAGCGCTTCGGACGCATAATATTATTTAACGTGATGTTTTCATTTTTTAATACTCGAAAAACCCCGAACTATCCTTCATTTTAAATGAAATAGAAGGCAATACTGTGTAGTTTGTATATACAACTTGAATATCATTAAAAATAAGTTGGGCAGTTTGAATACAACTGATATACTTGCAAAAGGAGAGTAAATCGATCTGATCTTAAGTGATTTCACCAGCAAAAAACTGGTTTATACTCGAAAAAGAGGACTGATTCACTAAAAACCTAAGTTCACAACCAAATCGGTATGTGGAGCCTACAAGTATCCGACAGCTTGAGAGTTTTCCTTTGCATGACGTCATGTTTTGACACTAACGTTTATTTTAGGAATTTCGAGGAGTTTTATTTTTATAATTTCATACATTTTTCCAAGGACTATTGCCTAAACTTATTTTGTTATGCACTAGAATAGGAATAACAGTTCTGTACAGATTTGCCTATTGCAATTTTCACACAGCGAAAACGTCATAGTGTTTGCACAGGGGTTACGATACATATGGATTTAAATGGGAGGTTAACTGTAACAGCCATAAATATGTACATCTGTGAGTCTGCACTAAATAGAGATGGGTGTCAATAAGATTTATCACGCAGTTGTTTACAAAGCAAAGGCAGTATGTCATATTAGAATAATATATATATATATATTAATTGAGAAAATCATTTATCAGCTGTTGTTCGGTGCATTTTTATAAAATGTTATAGTTCCTTTTTTTATTGATATTTAACATTGTTAACCTTTGTTTTAGGTCAGAATAATGCTGGATCAAGAAGACAAACTTCCGAGACATTACAGCAAAGGCCAAATTCTGTTTCGATGACGGAAAGCGATTTTTCAAAAGAACCCAACCCGAATAAGCAGGATTCAACAACCCCAGCAAATAGTATCGTACCACAGGATGGTGGTACTAGTAAGGCTCCAAATACTTTCATAAGTCACGGAGGTATTCAGACAATAATGTCAAAATCTGTAGCGACTTCTAATGACTATTATGATCTAAAACCTGACTATGGCCTTGCAGATAATGAATCTGATAAATATTTTATCAAGGTTCCTCTATGGATAAAATCAAGCAAAATAAAGTACTTTAGTTCTGCTGGGAAGCCTGTAATTGGTGAAGATATCCATCGCGAATGGAAAAGACTAGAGAAGGACACAAAATGTAGGATAATGGTTGAACCATATCACAAATCAGTTTTTAAGGAAGGATGGATAGCCAAAACAAACAAACAGTTAATGAACATTTTGTTAATGAGTGGAACACTCAACTCAATAGAAGGTGATATTATTCTGTGTGCAGTCAATAAGGAATTGGAAGCTATGGGATTTGATTCTGAAGTATTGATGGGAGGTTTGTACGCATTGCTTTTCTATTTTATAAAATTATTACTACAGTTTGGTTTCAATTCCTTAATTTAAAATAAAGAGTACACTTAAGATCAATCACAAGTTAAAAACAACACCATGGGAAATCAAAAAGACAAAAAGAACAACTCTAATAAATGTTCCACAGAAAACTAAATATTGATCATGCACACCCCAAATGAACAGAGGATAAATTATACAGGTTTTTAAGTGGCTTTTGTTCGTGGTGTGTACCTCGTGACCGGTGGAAGTATTATATTTAGCCATTATCAACGAGAGGACAAGACTATGGACACACACAATAAATGTTGATAAAATTTATATATCAGTCTAGGTGGCCGAGTGATCTAGAGTGCAGGACACAGTGCAGGCGATGCTGTCACGATATCCCAATAGCATGAGTTCAAATCCCGGCGAGGGAAGAACACAAATTTGCTTCCGAAAATTTGCAGATTTTACATTGTTGTGCTGATATTTAGAGTAATTATGTATATATATAAAGGACATGTACGATGATATTCATTTAAATGACATGTACGATAAGCTGCAAATATTTCTAAACAGCTTCCAATTTTACCTGGATGCTGCACGCGCCTGATGCAGCCAATTTGTTTAGCGAAACATTGACTGAATATATAAAATATAACAACTATTTTTATAACACTTATTAGCGTGTTAAGGTTACATTCTTGGGCATTTAAATATGTTTATATATAAAACGTCTAGGTATTAGCCAACGAATTTCCTAAGAGGGCGCTGGATCGTTATGCAAAATAAAATGATAATGTAAACAAAAGAAAAATATATATATATACGCTTTAAAAAATGACGCAGGTTAAGTATTTACAACAATGCCTGCATAGATATGCATTACAAAAGAATAGTAAAGTGTGATATGAGCTGATACAATTCTAAAATTCACAGGGGACGAAAGTTAATTTATTTCAACAGAGGCTGTGTATTTATACATCCCAAATGAATAGCACTGTTTGATTTAAACTGGTATATTTCCAAATTTTCAACGTTGACGAAGGTTAAGTAATTTCAACTATGGCTGCGTATTTATACATCCAAAATGAATAGCACTGTTCAATATTACGGAACTAAAAACAAAACAACTGTTTAACCCACCATTTTCTTCGGAAAATGCCTGTACCGATGACAGTTGTTTTCCACTTGTTCCATTGATTGAAAGCGTTTGATTTTGTCAGTGTTTATGGTCTTTCCCTTTCACTTCAGTATTTTTGTTATACTTTTTGTTTAAACTAATTCAACAAACAGACATAACAAATTGACATTATTTTTTTTAAGTCAAGCGAGATAAATTTTCAAAAATGAACACAGACCTGCAAACAAAGAGAATATGAATAAAAAATAAACGAAAGTACACTGCCGTTAAAACAACAACACAAAAAATTGCAACCATTAGATATTGTATATCAAGGTTAGACCCTTATAGAGAAGTGACAACAAAATTAGGATGTAAACATACAAAAAGGAAGTTGTGTGACTGTCACTGTGGATATATCAGGTGCCATTACTAAAAATATGCATTCACTATTTACTTTTATAAGCTAAGCTGGCTTTCAAGGCTATCTGAACTATAGCAATCACGTGGTGTCCGTCATTGACGTCCTTGGTAATAAATATTGTCTTTAATATTCTCTAAAACTACTGAGCCAAATGCTACCAAACTTTGCTTGAATGTTCCTTTGAGTATCTAGTTTAAAAAGCATGCATGGATCCGATCTATCAATAAACATGGCCGTTGTTGCTAAAAATATACCATGGGAATAAAACTGCCGTTTTTTGGCTAATTTCTAAAAAAAAAAATAAAGCAGTTAGAGTCAAATAATTGTTTAATACTAACAATTTTCAACAAAATAAAATCTACAAATCATTTTACCATAACATGAATTGTCAGTCGACCCCTTATAGAAGCTATTGTCCTTGCAGAAACAACAATACACGCAATCGCTTTTAGTCCACCCTTACTGGACATAACAAACGTTCCCCTAACATTTTGACATCATAAAAGAAAATGTCTGACGACAAAATGCAAAAGTGATTGTTGTATGACGTCCAACAGTTCAATTGTCAAAAATTATCTGGTCAAGTGTTCCAGGTTTTTAAATAGAGATAAGGTCTATAAATTAGATGAAAAGGTAAAACAAAATTGACATATAAGCCAACATGGCAGAAATTTTCAACTAAACTTTAATAAGAGTAATACAATTTAAGTGTCTATTATATCAAAACCTAGAGGTGGCCTGGGTGGCCGAGTGGTCTGAGTAGTCGAACTACTGTATCGCTAGCCTGTCAAGACTGAGATTGTGAGTTCTAATCCCTCACGTGACAGGTGCGCTCGACTACAATTTTAATTGACTAGAATTGTGTTTTCCTACCGAAGGTCTTCAGGCACTCCGGCTTCCTGTACCAATAAAAGTCTTTAACAAATGGTAAAATCAACAGCTCAAACACATCAAACGAATAGAAAGTAGCTGTCATAGTCCTGACTAGGTACAGGCATTTCCTTACGTAGAAAATGGTGGATTAAACCTAGTTTATAGCTAGCCAAACCTCTCACTTGTATGACAGTCGCAAAAAATTCCAAGTTAAATTTATATTCAATAACATTGGTAATTGTCATACCTTCGCAGACCAGAACGCTTTGGAGTATTGAGCCATTGGACCTGAGCACATGTCATCATACTTTAGTTTTTCACCATGGTGGTTTCGGATAGCGTGCTGGTTTCCAGTGCGGAAGTCAAATTAATCTGTCCGGGTTGGGTGACATGTCTTCCGGCGAATTGTGACGTCAGACTAGTACAAAGCAGCGTCTGTATTCATATCACAGTATTATGTTCTCAACTCATATACTTTTAATTTGCCACTGGACGGTAAACAGCCATGTATACATCATACTTAAGTTTAAATTCACATTTAATTATCCCCTTTGCGCTTTGGAGTCCTTCATATATGAAAATACTATTATAATTCAATCTTAGAGTTATGAGGAGAAAAGATTGAAAGTAACATAAAAAACAAGATGAATCAGATCAGTTTATTTGACTGTTCCTTGGATTTAGTACCAAATAAATCAGGACGCATCTAGACTAACCGGTTAGTAAACTGTCAGTCTAGTTAATTGGTTACTTGTTTACACGTATTTCATTTGTATTGTTTATATTATGATAATATAGATAGTAAAGTACATTTGACATTAGTCCTGTTAGTTGTAAAATCATTTTTCTCTGGTTTAATTTTAGGTCTTAACAAGGAAAAGCTGGACAGACTTCTACCTAAGACATCTGAGAGAAAGCTCGAGATAGGTGATGTGGTACGAATATATGATCCAGAAAACCTTAACTGCCACTGTTTACTTTTGACTGTTCTTGAGGATTTAAATATAAAGAGTCACTCTGATTCTCTGGAACAGAAAGTAGCAGCAGAAGTTATCAACACTTTAGTAACAAACGGTTTTAGAAGTTTAGGGATATCACTGAACTACAACAAAAGCCCAGAATGGAAAATGTTCTCATTCACATTACTGTCTTGTTTATGGAGTCCCAAATCTAAACTGAAGAGTCCAGTTGTGGTTTATTGCTTTGGTGCAGTGGACGAGTTTGATAGTCTTGACGACTACATACGAGAGAAATTGAAGATTGACAACTGTTTGGTTCCTATAAAAACCGAACCTTTAGAATATCAAGGTAAATATAAATCATTGTTTTGAAGAATTGTTAAAAAAAGCCCAACATACTGCTCCCCCTCCCATTGAACACAAATTTAAGTATACTGCAAAGGAACAACACAGGATTATAAACAAACCTCACACATATGATCACGTTGGCTTCTTCACCAGATTCCATACTCCACGGGGTGTGGTGCAGTCTGTGTGAGATTACATGTTGTTTGAGAGGTATTGGCAAAGAAAAGGACAGTACATGTAACAACTAACAATGGGTAGGATGCTTTAAGAGGTATGTTCGGATTAATTGTTAACATTTATATATGGAGAAAATCAAGTCAGTTGTTTTTGCAAATAAAAAATGCATGGTATTTTACTATTTTTATCTTCACATTTGAAAAGTATAAAACAAATTGTATGCGGAAAAACAAACAAGATTCATGCAGTAATTTAAAGAAGTACTACCTCATGGAATTGTAAAAAAAAACAATTGCATTGTGCCAACTTTTTATTTGTTTGTTACAGATGAGGAGAACTCAATTAAAGTGTCAGTAGAACATGGATCCATACTTGATTATGATACCAAGGTGACATATTGCTTAATCCAAAATATGATATTTTTTATGTATTATATATATATTATATTGTCTCATTTTCTTTGTAAGAATAATTGTAATAAGTTGCACTGTCAGATATCATTGAACTACTTGTATTTGCGATATGACTTTCACTGATCATATATTGCACTGTTAATGATCTTGTCAATACATTTCCTTGGAGTTTAATTTATGACTTCATTAAAGAATATAAGTTCGTCCAATTTTTACGTCGTCAGCTTCAACTTTGATGGTTTTAACCTAAAATATTTCTTTTGGAACAGTTGTGATAGTTGCAGTATTACGAAAACAACAATACTTAATCTCAAAAATATACTACTTGACTCATAATAGGATAAAAATGAGAGGTTTGGCCTCTCGTTCTACCTCTTTCTAAGCCTTGTTCCAAATGGTGAAGATTATTCCTTTGAAAATTTTACAGATGCCATCTCCAGTTGATTGACCGTTATGGAATATCTGTTTCACAGATGACGACAGATATGTGCCTATTGTTGTGAACACAATCCCGTCCTCTTTTTCCAAAATGTGAACAACCCTATTAGACTTATCACCAGGTTTGCACTTACATAACCAATATGGACGGTGCCACATGTGTAGCATGATCCAGAACACTTGGATCACCCTAGATGTTCCTGTTGCTCAGTCTTTAGTTTTCTATATGTTATACTTTGTGTACTGTTAATTGTCTTTTGGTCATTTTTCGTTTTTGCTATGGTATCGTCAGTTCGTTTTCGAATTCTAAGTTTGAAAATCCCTTTCGTTTCCTTTCGTTTCGTACCATAAAATATTGCATTTTGAGACAATGTGTGGTTATTTTATATATACATAAGTTTTATATTGTTTTTCTAGGTTGATGTCTTAATAAATTCTGTAGGTGCTTCACTCGATTTGAGCAATGGGATTGTGTCCGCAAAACTTGTGAAGATGGCTGGTAAATCTGTTCAAGATGAATGTAATAAAGAGTACAAAAATGGCATAAAAATAGGAGATATTGCCATCACTTCTACAGGGCATATGATATGTAAAAAGATTTTCCATGTAGCATTGTACACAAACTGGGTTTGTGATGGAAATATTTCTACTGAAGTAAGTTTGTTTAGTACGGAAGCCCATAGGGGACATAAACAATTATATTATATCGTTATCTCAATATATATATATCGTTATTTCGATATGATTTAATCGTTATCTCGATATATTTATATCGTTATCTCGATATTTATATCGTTATATTGATATATTTATTGAGATAACGATATAATATTATTTGTTTTAGGTCCCCTATGGGCTTCTGTAGTTTAGTGTATCATTTAATCTCACCAATATGATTGGCACAAAAGCAATCTTTATGTTTCTTCAAAGTCTGTTCTTTATTACATTCGTCTATGTTATTACCTTTGAAATAACAAAACAAATGGTGATTGTCTAGGACGTCTTTAAATAGAAGATATAAAGTAGCCTTTTGAAGAGTAGTTGTTTTTTTATATTTTTAACAGTTAAATGTGTTGACAAAAATTGAAAAAAAAACTTATTGTAGCTTCATGTTGTTGAAACATCATTTAACATTATTATGTTCCATGTATGAGCACAATAGAGTATCCAACTGTCAAAGTGTTTACACCCCAGTAAAGCTTCAATTTAATTAAATTCTTAAATATTGTTTTATAGCTTTTTATGTAGAACAAAAAATTTGCTTAATGGCTAATGCAGTGAAGTTTAAAATTTGACATGGTTATATTATTGTAACTCCTTGACATTAAATGTGTCTTTATGTAAAACAAAAATATTGATGGGTAAAGAAAAGGTTCATACTTTCCTTTTTTTTTCTATTTAGTAATACTGCACACCCAGAAAAGGTTAAATATTTTTCCTTCTATACATCTGAACTCATCATAAGGTTATGAGTGGGAAATGCTAAAATACAATTCAAATGGTATATTTCTATAAAATCATAAAAATCCACATTTTTGTTCGATAATCAATGTTTTGCTTTTTAAGAAAAAAAAATGTTAATGACTAATTATTGAAACCAAATATATTCAAGAATGTTGCCTTCATAGGCTTAGTTTTACTGTTTTACTCTCCGATAAATACTCGGGAATGTTTTGTATGCTTTTACCAAAAAAATAATATTAACAGAGGTATCATTGAGTATAATGTGGTCACTTTTTGGCCTTTGATCTCAAAAGTACAGTGAATATCTCTAAACCAACTAATAACATTTTGAGTCAACGAAGAGAGAAAAATTGAATTAGGATGACGTAAACAAATATATCAGTATGTGTATCAGATTTATCTAATACTGCTTTGTACTAGCCTATCAAGTTATCGTTCTCCGACAGTGTTTTAGTTTTCTATGTTTGTTTATTGTATTTTTCTAACTGTGCATGGTTTTATCGTTTTGGTAAGAGTTCGATAAAACTTAACTGCACCGAAAATAATGATAAATTTTACAAAAACTTTATATCATGATTTTCAGCTGACAAAAGTTTACTTTAAATGTCGTTTAACCAATACATTTTGTATCACATGCATAAATTATGGAAAACAAAATAACAAGAAACTGCTATCTTTTTTTAAATTTCTAGATGTTTACTCAATTTCAGAACTTATAATTATTTCTTTTTTGGTATAAAATAAAATAATATGGTATAACTGCCAATGAGACAACTTTCAACCAGAGACCAAATGTTGTAGAAGTTAACAAGTACGCCATCGTACTGCATTGAACAAAGAACAAAACCCATATATCCCACATATTAAACAATAACAGGCCCCGATAATAATGTAAAACTGTTCAAACGAGAAAACTAACGACCTGATTTATGCACAAAACAATAAATGAAAAACGTAGGATATACAGTAACAAATGACAAACACTAAATCACAGGCTCCTGGCTTGGAACATGCACATATAGAATTTGGCGGTTAAACATGTTTGCTTGCGCCAAACCCTACAGTGCTGTAACAGTACAAGATAAGAACAAACTGTGATGGTTAAGTCTGGCTACAAAAAATATAATGCAGTGCGACTGTTTGAACACTACTTGTTTGTTTTATTCATACCAAAGTCCTACAGTATGCAAATTACCTTTCATGACATGATAATTAAGACAATCACTTTGGTATTAAAAGAGATGATAATTTAAGGTTGAGCGTACAAGAGGACGATAATACACATGTTAATATTCTTATAAAGTGTGAAAAGGCCTTTAATCCCTGCAACAATTTTTAACAAATGTAAAACAAATTACCCAAGATATAAGAAGATATAAGAAGATGTGGTATGAGTGTCAATGAGACAACTCTCCATCCAAGTCACAATTTGTAAAAGTAAACCATTATAGGTCAAAGTGCGGTCTTCAACATAGAGCCTTGGCTCACCGAACAGCAAGCTATAAAGGGCCCCAAAAATGACTAGTGTAAAACCATTAACAGGAAAACCAACAGTCTAATCTATATAAAAAACGAGATACGAGAAACACTTATGAACCACATCAACAAACGACAACCACTGAACAACAGGTTCCTGACTTAGGACAGGTGAAAACAAATGCCGCGGGTTTAAATGTTTTAATAGGTACCAACCTACCCCCTTACCTGAAACAATAGTGTAACATCACAACATAGAAAGACACACGATAAAATATCAATTGAAATGGCTCAATCAAAAGACATATTAACACAAACAAGTGAACATACACTGAACGAATAAATTTGATATATGACCCAATGTAAATACAAAATCAATAAAATAAGGGGTGAGATGTTAAACAATATCAGAAACACAACCATAACCTTGGACAAAATGCCGCAAAAAAATAATGTACATAGGTAAATGAAAATAATTTGTAAGGTATACGATAATGGAATACGAATATATTGTTTATACAAAATAAATAATTTTTTTGTTCATAGTACCAGAACAGAAGTTAAAATTTAAAGTCATACCAAACACTTATCTAAGCTGGTATATATTAAATAGAGAGACGAGATATAACACTAGATAAGTAAACATTAAAAAAACAAAAAAGCATAACAAATTGTATCAACAGGTAATATTAACACGAAAGTACGATTTGAGAGTACTCGCAGTTACTGAAAGCTAGTTAAAAGCCAAAAACAATTAATAATAACAAATCATGCCTCAGAGACTAAAATCAACTAAAACACATCCCAGGGATTTAGTATTTTCACGTCATGGACAGTCAAAGAAGACATGACTTGGGCAATTCCAAAAATAAAAGTAGGCAGTAGGATAGTTAAGAGTTAACCTTTTAATAAATAAGTATAATGTAATACATAGATATAGTAATATCTATATCGAAAATAAACTTGGATGTGAATTAATACATCCCAAAAACAAATTTAGTCATATTTTAATTTCTTGATGACAAAATCGATATTTGTGCCAATGTCAACAATATTCAAAGATCTAATTACAACATTGGTAAGATAACCTTTACTAATAAGTTTGTTTAAAGGTTCGATCAGTTTACACGGATCACATAGACAATGGGATTTCCGCGCTTTTAGTACAATATTACCGTAAAATTTAGGATGTGGAATACCGTTTTTAATAAGTTTTCTACAGGTACATCTAAGTTTACTAATCAAATCTTTGTACCTATGAAAGAATTTAATAAACGTTTTAAGTAATTTATGATAACGAAATCCCTGACTTAATAATTTACCAGTGATGTATTGATTATGTTCGTTAAAATCTATAACATCACTACACACACGGGCATAAAGAACGAGTTGGGATATAAAAACTCCGTATGATGGAGCTAAAGGAACATCGCCGTCTAAAAAGGGAAAATTAACAATAGGGAATGAATAATCGTCTCTTTTGTTGTAAGTTGTAGTATGGAGTTTCCCTTTAGAAATTGAAAAGTCTAAATCTAGAAAAGGACAACAACTCTGGATTATTTAACGAATAAATATCAACAAGATAACGGTTGGTATTGTTGAATGTATCAACTAAATGTAACAATGACGTGTCTTTACATTTTTATGTATAGAACACAATTTACCTTGTTTATCATACTTTTTAAACTGAAGATTTAGTTTGAGTCATGTGAACGTTTTACCTATCGACATTTGAATCAAACAGAGTAAATTTATATCAATTACTGTATTCCTACGTCAGTTCCACAGAAAGATTTCGAGTCTTGCAGAATTTCAAGTTAACCGAGTTGGAGACAATGATAGTCCGCTGTTTCATAAAATATTAGTACTATTCTCGAGATGTTCACAAAACATGAGTTTGTTATACATTAGAAATAATTTACTTGAATTTTGTTTTACTATATACTGTCTACAAACTGCTATCATTTAAAGGGGCACTAGCTGTCAAATTCATGTTCACCGATTCGACTTAAATTCTCATACTTGATTTATAACAATGTAAAACATTTATCCAAACTATTAAAAGTCTAAAATAAACAATTTACAGGACATGGACTCGAAAATATGTAGCTTCGTTTCGTGAGTATTTTAGTCTAGACGCCATCTAATTAACTATTGAGTTGACCTCGGAAAAACCTCCGATGGCCATATAAGGGATATACACATAAATATAGATATAAATAGATTAAGCTACTCGAGCAATTAGACTTTCTAGGTCTATTTAATTTCATATTATAGATTAGAAATATATGTTAATTATCGTTTTTTACCTGTAAAAGAATGATTTTTTGTGGATCGAATCAGTCAATCAAATTATTTACCTTTGTTTCACTTTCAATGTTGACATTCTTTTCCTTTGAATAACTGATCACGCACGATTTATGCGTTATCTATCTTTAGCTAAGGGGTTAAATTGAAGTTCACATGAATACGGATTCAATGAGGTCGAATTTTTCACTTGCAAGTGAATAATTCATCATCGATATTTCTTTGCTTATTTTGACAAAATTGAACCATATTTGCTGCTTAAAGCGAATTATTATTTCACTATTTTACTTTCATTAATGATTGAACAAAAAAAAATCATATTCTAATTGTTTTTATATATCTCGTAGCTAGTGCCCCTTTAAGCGAAAAATATCAAAGAATAAAGTAACCATTTTGTTCAAAATGTCAGTTGTGACATGTGTTTGATGTCACAACATTGTCATAATAGATCAGATTTCTGCATGACTAGAATAACCAAACTATAGTATTATTTGTAGTTATAGTTCATTTGGTAACATAAATAAGTATGGAAATTTTTTATAACAGATTTTGAAGAACATTGTGATAAAGTGTTTGATTGAAGCTGAAAAAAGGGAAATGACCTCTATTGCTTTTCCTGCTCTTGGAACAGGCACTTTAGGGTATCCTCCATGTGTGGTTGCCAAGACAATGTTTGCTGCTGTCGATGAGTATGGAAGGACAAATCCTAAATTCTTACAGCAGGTTGTTTTTGTCCTGTTTGAAGACACTGTTGTATTTAAGGTAATAACTAGTAACAGCTTAATACAATGAACTGTCTTTTTAAAAAAGAGTACGTCCGGATACATATTCAGCATGTTCATACTCTGGATTTTCTCTCATCTGCCAGAAACAAAAATGTCATAGGAAAGACATATAAGTACCTGAGTATTACTTTTCTAGTTTAAGCATCAGCCTTAACAATTTGCAAATAACATCAATAACTTATCTCCATTTCCTATTCACACAATCATTTGAAAATGTCATATGTCGAGTCTTGTTTATCAGTCATTATTGCATGAACAAATTGCAAATCACTGGAATATTATTTTTTGCCTACTTTTCCTAAAAGACATTTGTATTCGTGGTATTGCCGAAATATTTTTGTAAAGTGTTATTAAATTTGGAGCATTTTGATTTTTGTTTTTACATTTTTGCTGTTTCAATGGTTACGGTGATCACTTCCAAAAATTCCAAAGACAGATGCCACCTATAGAAAATGTTTACTTCGTTGAGTATTCCAAGTACTAGTTGACCTATTCCCACGAAAATTGGTATCCCACAAATAATAGTGAATTCAGAGTATTGTCTTCAAGATGTACAAGTTAGTCAATTTGATTGATATTGTCAATAGAACACTGAAAGAATTTATTTGCCTTGAAAGATGGTTTTTATCTATTGTTCGCAGAAACCAAAACAGATAAAGAATAAATAAAACTAGCTGAAATGTTAAGTCAATAAAATTTACAAATAATTCAACATGGTCAAAACTGTCAAATGACTCCTTGTTATGTGAGTTATTGCCCCTGAATGACAATTGTTTGCCCAATTTTTTTAGTTTTTTTTTGCAGAAACAAAGATAGATCGAAAACAACAATAAATATAGCAAAAATGTTCAACAAAGTAAGATCTACCGTTGTTCAACATGGACAATTAAAATCGTCAATTGTCCCTTGATAGTTGTCATCATTTTTAATATCTACACAAAGTATAACAGAGAAAAATACTTAAGGTAGCCCTACAGCATAACTTTTCCGACTCCAACCACTATTCATTAAATTGATTATTCCAAATCTTTTCAATGAAGTTTTTGAATATTTTAACTTATTTTAAAGCTGAAATATTATTCTATCTTTATCTATAGGTATACTTATTTTGGTATGAATAGTTAAAAATATAGAACACGAACTAGTCTTCCAATAGCACATGCAGGTCAAGGGGTAGTAACAAATCAGCTTGCTCACTCTTTTTGGATATTTTTTATAACAATAAAGGATATTAAAGAGATAATGTAAATAGCAAATAATCATATAATAAACAAGCAAATTGATATTTACAAATCATTTCATAGGTTATGAATATTATGTTATCCGTTTATGGGAGAGTTATTGATATTTATTTTAAAAAATGGGGGTTTAGCTTTTTTGCCAAACAGGATATAAAACAGACAACAGAGGTCATATTTTTCAGTCTGACTGCCCATCCATCTGTTTGTTCTGTATCAAGCTAAAATTTAGTTTAAGGTATTATGATGAAGTTTTGGTCATGTTTATTTGAAAATAAATTATTTGTTTCCAGAAGAAATAACAGTGATCAAGAAGGTGAAAATGAATATCAGTATGACATATTTCCCCGATGATAAAGTCAAGCTCCTGGGATTAAGTTTGATTGGTTGATAGTTCATGAAATGATATAACAATTTATGTTTTCTTGTTGCTACTTTATTGTTTGTTGTTTATTTATTTAAGAATTTCGAAAACATTGGCAAGTGGAAGAAAAACAAAGTTAAGAACAGTAAAGAATATGGTAAGAGAAATTTTAAGTCAAATCCTTTCATAACTGCACAATAGTGATTGATAAAAATGTATTTATTACGAAATGTTGTGACTGTTGATTGGTTTGTTGAATTTAGTACCTTTGTGGTCCATATCCACATGCAAGTATGAATAACAAAGACATGACGTTATATGTCAATGGAACAACAAATTGAATACACAGAAAAACTGAAAGTCAGCCAGTTCTTAGACAATTATTGACCAACAGCCACATAATTTTATGTGTTAGTTCTAACCATGTGACAATGATGACCTATATTTCAAGATTCATTACTTCACTAGGTTCAAGTCAAAATTTAAAAACTAGGCTTTGAATAAAATAAGTAACTTAAGTCAGAAAACTTAGGGTTAGGATGGATCTTTGGAAGTATGTACCATTCCTACAAATTAAGGTCACTTTTACTCATTACCTGCTTCAGTAAATTGCCTTGTTGGTATTATGCAAGGACTCCTGTCTCAGTGAAAGCAATTTAGTATATGATCCCTTGCTTGGTCAGACATAAGACTTTACAGATTAGTCTTTGCTACTTCCACCAAACATTTGGTATTTACAAATAAGATGATAACCTCGACAATCAACTACTATCGAAATTATCAAAAAGTGTGATTCTGTCTGTATTTCCAAACATTTAAATGCATGTGAGTTTTGTAAACGTACATTATCTGCAGTTTCTAAATACAAATAGTTCTACTTATAATTACTGTTGTATGTCACAGTTGAATATAGTCATGTATTCAAATGGTTAGATATTGTTATGATTTTCTGAATATCTTGCACAGGCTATAAAGTAAATTATGATTGGCTTAAAGGTATTGTGTAAGGTATGACAATAAGAAGATGTGGTATTATTGCCAATGATCCAACTTATTCACCACAGTTCAAATGACATGCATATAGGCAATTATAGGTCACCCCACGGCCTTCAACTATGTCAAGCACCCATACTGTGTAGTCAGTTATAAAAGGCTCCGATATGAAAAGTTTGAAACAATTCCAACGAGAAAACTAGCAGCCTAATTTATATCAATACAATTTACGAAAAAATCAAACATATATGAACCAACGACAACCACTGAATTGCCGGCTCCTGACTTGGAGCAGTAACATTAAGAATGTGGCAGTTTTAATCATGTTTGTGAGCTCACAACCATCCCCCTTACCTTAATGTCCAATCTTTAAAAAAATGTATTTGGTGTAATGTGAGGGTACTCACATTGCACCTAATTTGACAGTTTTTTCACCTACATTTATTTATGATGCAGGCAAACGTTTTTGTGATGTGCTTATTTTGTAGATGTATCCTTATTATTAACTATATAGTTTCATCAATCTAATTTTGAATCCATATTGCATTATAGAAAAAAATGGGTTTAGCCCACATCCAAACGATCCATGATTTTGTTATGACAAGTACCTAAATTGCATCTGTAAAAATTGAATAACTGTTGCTTGGATATTTTTCTCCAAATATTTAGTCAGTGCTTACTATTCATTTTATAAGAAATAAATGCCTGCAACATTTTCAAACGCTCAATTATAAAAGTTGACATTTTGTTGACTTCACATGGCAACGTTTTCATATAACATTTTCAAGTGAATACTTATAAAAAAGAAGATGTGGTATGATTGCCAATGAGACAACTCTCAACAAGAGACCAAATGACACAGAAATTAACAACTATAGGTCACCGTACGGCCTTCAACAATGAGCAAAGCCCATACCGCAGTCAGTTTTAAAAAGCCCCGAAATGACAATGTAAAATAATTCAAACGAGAAAACTAACGGTCTAATTTGTGTACACAAAATGAACGAAAAACAAATATGTAACACAAAAACAAACGACAACCACTGAATTACAGGTTCTTGACTTTGGACAGACACATACATACAGAATGTGGCGGGGTTTAACATGTTAGCGGGATCCCAACCCTCCCCCTAATCTGGGACAGTGGTGTAACAGTACAACATGAGAACGAACTGTAAAAATCAGTTGGAAGAGGCTTAACTCATCAGATGGATAAAAATACAAATACTACAAATACAAGTGGACGTGGCCGGGTACTTGTACATCCAAACAACAAAAAGACACTAAGTACAGATCTGAGAGTACTCGCAGTTACTGACAGCTAGTTCAAAGCCACTAACAACTAATAAAAAAAATCATGCATCTAAGACTAAATTATCAATCCGTACACATCCAACATCCAATGGATTTAGTGTAAAGACGTCATAGACAGTCAGAGAAAAACATGACCTTGTGCAATTTCAAGATATAGGTATCGACAGATTGTAGATCCATGAATGTGTATATGTATATAACAATAATATTTAGTTTGCTTTTATTTTACTGATAACAAAATCAATATTATTACCAATAAAAAAAATGTTAAATGATCTAATTACAGTGTTGATTGGTAACCTTTTAGAATAAGTTTATTTAAAGGATCGATAAGTTTACCGGGATTGTTTCTAAATTTCAGGGCACGGTAAACAATAATGCCGTAAAAATGAGGATGTGCTATCCCATTTGAAATAAGTTTTCTACAGGTACAACCAAACTTCAAAACCAAATTTTTATATCTGTGGAAAAATTTAGTAAAGGTTTTAAGTAATTTGTGGTAACGAAATCCCTGGCTTAATAATTTATCAGTAATTCATAGATTACGTTCGTTTAAATAAAAATAATAATTCATAGATTACGTTCGTTAAGATAAAAACTTCATCTGTTGATATGTACTGTGAACGTTTTGTGAATATTTAGATTTGTTTAGTGACTAGTCCCTAAGAAAACGTTTGAGATTTTCGCTGCTATTTTTGCTAAATGGTTGCAAGTAGGATACTTTGACGTTAGGGCATCAAGAATATTTGTTTGAATAAGAATAATGTTACATAATTAAACTGTTTTACCATGTTCTTTAAATTGATTTACCAATGATATCACGACCTAATTTATGTTTGTATATTTCAAGGATTTGAATATCAATTATTACTCTAGCTAAATAAGTAGCTTCGTATCATATTCACAGTATTCATATGAATACAGTCATTAATCCAGTATACTTTGTTATTTAAGAAGATGCAACTAGACATTTTTTTTGAACTCCAGAATTTAAAAGTTTACGTTAACTTTATCATTTTCAGATATTCCACCAAAGCAATTGCTGTTTATTCATAAAGATTTGAAAACCAGAGTTAATGTAACAGATAAGGAATATGTTACCAGTTTGAAATATAAAGATTTGAAAGCAGTTGTTACAGAATCCGGAAGTCTAGGTTTGTCGTATAAATACTGTATTAACCTGAGTATAAGTCTACTGGAAAGATATGTCAAATGACCTATTTCAGGCTGAGATCTTGATAGAATCTTACGATAGCTCGAACCGATGGATAAGTTGAGAGTCCAAAATTAATCCAACGGAAAGTATAAGCTGAGGACAAAAATCTATTTTAATGCATTCAAAATGCAATGTTAAATTACTATGATATAAAAAGATTTAAAATAGTTCGAACATGGGTTACGTCACTTACATTGTTATCGAGTTATGTCCCTTTATAAATGGAAAATTTGTTAAATTTACTGTATACTTACACAGTTTTATTTTATTTTTCATATAGATCTTACATTTTGATTTAAGAAAAAAAGTCTTATATAGGAAGATCGTGAGTTTAAAAAGTCGAGGCTGCCAACTATCTGAAAAAAAGTTTTCACTAATAGTCCAAGATGTAGGGTACTTCCATTTAATTATTAAAGAAGTCTACTTTTGACCTTTATAAGATATCTATTTGACAATTTATTTTCTTATTCATTTCGAAATAAATTACAAAAGACTCTGATTTCACCATGTTTGTCATATAGGTCTCCTTTTATTACTATTTCAGGGTTTTTTTTTGCAGTTGAATTAGTATTTAAGATCAGATTCAGTAGATTATTGCTTGGTATTATAACTTTAAATTCATTTTCATAGATATGAAAATGGATTGGAATGATCAAGATGGCTGTTTTGTAACAAAGATAAAAACAGGACGAACTGAAGCGGAAGTCAAAGCATATTTTGCTTTATTAATTGAACATATGCATGAAAACAAATTTCAAACGGTTAATTTGTTTTTTCAAAACATATCTTCAGGTTTGTAAATACTTTTATTTATAGGCAATAATGTAGTAAATCTTCTTTTCAAGGTAAAAGCTAAAATTTCTTTCACAATCACCAGCTAATATCGTCTTGATAAAAAATGCGAAAAAAGGATGTTAACAGTTAGGAATCTACTTCGTCAAAATCTACAAATGCTAAAAAAATGGAAGTCATTGTAGGGATGACGCGTTGCCAATTTAGCTCTTTGAAACCGATAAATTCGTCCGCATTACGATCTTTAACCGCCAGTTGTATTTTAAAAGACAAATGTATCTACTAGCTATTGAGCATCATTTTATGTACTTTTCTGCATTTAGTCAACTTTAAACTACTGTCTGATCGGTTGTTAGATGGAATTTACGAAAGTTCAAAATATTTAAGAAAATTCTAATCAAATATTTCGTGGAATAGCAGACTAAAAAAATTCAAAGGTTGCAGACTAAAAGACATTTGCGGAAACTAGGTCTATACCTAGGATTACACTTTAGACTTACGATAACAGGTGACGAACAACAAGGGGTCATCTCAAAATATTAAAAAAAAAAACAATACAAATACAAGATAGCAAAACAAAACACACTAGTTCAGCGCATATGCATGGTGACCACATATTTGAATCGCTGTCCTGGGTGTAGCAACAAAGTCCCCTTTGTATTTTTAATAGTAATAGTAAAAGCTGATGACTACCTCCGGGTGCTGGAGTTTCTCGCTGCGTTGAAGACCCATTGGTGGCCTTCGGCTACTCTTTGGTCGGGTTGTCTCTTTGACCTATTCTCAATTTTAATTTCATATTTTCTCAATGCTGAACTAGTCTTGGTCCTGGACTCGCCTTAAAAAATCCGTAGTGAGAATCCTGGCTTTATATGTTGCAAGAAAACTTTTTCTTAAAAAAGTGAAAGAAATCTGTGAATATTTTAATTCAAGTAAACCCCGTTCTCAATTATCCGTCCATTGGTCGATCCTTTCTTCATCTATGCATAGGTTTGTTTTGTGGTGAATGCTTTTATAAATTGCTTGAAATACATGGTATATGTATTTTCTTTCATTCAAAAGCAAGCGTAGGGATTTATAAATAGCAGATCACCATCTCATACTGGAACATGTTGTGGCACTCAACCATAAGGCAGTTAAATAAAAAATCATATGCATTTTATTAAAAATGAAGGCAAATCCAGTTTTTAAGAGATTATTCTAAACAAACGGGTAAAGATAGATGTCATATTCGGTCATCATAAGGAATCGGTGTGATACCCATCTTTTAACACATCTCCATATTTTGTATACATATTCCTCATAGTCGCATGTTTTTGTTCTGTCACTCGTCTCTCGTCTTCATGATTTTTCCCAGTTATTTATGAGTAATAGGAAAGCTATGTTTGGTATATAGAATATAAGAAAGATGGACATGTACTTCAGAAAAGGATCATTATTTTGATCGTCATCTGATTTTATTGTTTATTGATAGAATTAGTTTCCTAGGAAGTAAAAGAAATGGGTTTATTATATATGGTATATAGATTGATTGTAAGAAGTACATTTCCGTCTGAGAATGATTAACTTGACATTGACCTAAATTTCATGTTTAAAATTGTGATCAGTTTTAATTGTATTTTAAAGTATTCTCTGTTAGAAGATTATTGGAGAGGTAGAACTTCTATAGGTCTGTATATTTGTTTCAATACTTTCTGTTTATTCTTAGACTAACTCCTGGAATTTAATCAGTGTTTCAATCTGGTTGGGAAATGTTATTCAAGATATCTACGGTTGCATTCATATCTTAAATCCCTTTATGTCTCCGAAACTTTTATTAACACCATGCTTCACTAAATCTTCGTTAAATCATAAATTTTCATTATCTTTATAGAGGTCACAGTCAATAAACAGTTGAGGATTCTTATGCGTGAAATACAGCATCATGGAGATCGAATTAATAAGAACAATTCAACAAAAACTGGGTTACCAGCAATAAATTATGTTAAACTCGTGAGAGTTTTCCTCAAGTCTGAAGATTATGCAGAAATAGAAACAGAATATATGCAGTCAAATGACAAGCAGGAGGGTAATTGTCGGCTTCAATTGTATTGTCTAAAACATTAAAAGTAGTTTGTGTGTCCCTAAAATCATGAAACCATATCATTCTGGCATCACTGAGCTCTGGCAAAATTCAAAACATGCATTTCTTTTTTTTTAAATCATTTTAATCTAAAGCATAACCATGATGTTTGAGAAGATTTCATTCCCCACATGGCCTAGAAAATTAAACTTCTTAGTACTATTTTAAATATGCTCATACTGAATGGAAATGCATAAATTCAATAACTATAAATGTTAGGACATCACAACTGTATCATCATAAAACACATTTTTCAATAAAATGAAGACAACTGCTGAATATATGCAGTTTTCCATCCATTCGAAGGAACACCAAAATAATGTTAAGGAAGCTTTATTATAATTATTTACATAGTTTTGTCAAATGTAAAGTTGTTTCTTGTGTTTGCAATACATGTATTGCTTTTAGGTTAGAATTGTTAGAGCAAATTAAAGACCATGTGTGGTAAATTTTAGATTGGCACTTATATTTGAGCCCATATATTGCACCTAGATGAACGTTATGATTGTCTGGATAACTTGTGTAAATTTCATTTTCAATTTTAACCAGGTAGTTAACAAAATGACCTAATGAAAACTTCAAACTGAATTGCTCTTTTATATGCTTATCGTTGCCCTTCAAGAAATCTCCAAGAAACTATGAAGGGAACTACAAGTATGAAAAAGCAATCAAAATTTGCCAATCAAAATATTAATGGGGAATGAAAAATGCTCTTTAATTATGATAAAATGTAATAAAAGACTTACTGTAAGACACAGAAAAAGAAGCAACGACGTGACAAAAACAAAAGACAAGCAATAGATCATAAAATACTGCAAACCCTTACAAAACTATGGCTTGACTTTTGACCGCTATACAGTTAAGCAATTTCTGCTCCACAAATGTCCCGTGTGTTACTCATGGAAAGTCAGTGATAAATCACAGTATGTGATTTCATAATCAAGGAAAAGGGAATAGGATTGTAGCAACAAATCATGCCATAGTTCCATTGGCAAATGAAATAAAAATACAGGTAAAACAAATCATGATGACTTCAACTAAAAAATTAGAAAGACTTGTTCCTACCTCTACTTTGTTGGAAAAGTATTTCCATTTATCTATTTTTTTTTTTTTTTTATTAATTTCTAGACGACCCTGGGTGGTATATATTTTATGTGGATTCATTTATTCTTTCGTGGGTATCAATGTTTGAGGATAGAGGAAACAATCGACTATTGTTGATCTGTGATATGCTGGTTTTGGTAAAGTCTGCATACACGCCTGTAAAAAATGCATATTTTAAAACGTTTAACCTGGTTCACCTATACCCAGGATTTCAACAAAAATCGGTATCCGACGAATATAAAATCTTTTTTTTCCAGAAAATAAACATGGTAAATGGAAATGGCATGTCTCAGATCAGTCATCCTTTCCATTCATTGTGGAGGTTGTTGGACCAAGGAGTACGGCTGAAGATGTGTATAACAAAGTTGTGCAAGACATTTCGTCTATTTAGGTATGAAATTTGTTTACTCTATTATTTTAAAATCATTTCTGAACTGAACAGCTGTCAAACTGCAGAAAGTCAATGATTTGTTGAAATATGCCATTTTAATTCACGTCACTGGGATAACGCTTTTATTTCTTATCAGATCCTCTGCAACTAATTATGATGGTTTTCAATCATTAATTATGATAATCTGTGTAATCTAAAATGAGGGACCATTTTCTCAAGAAAGCACTTATTTTTCTTATACTTATGATTACGGACTTTCCGTTTTGAATTTTCCTCGGAGTTAGGTATTTTTGTTATTCTTCCATATACCAAGTTAGGAATATGATAGTTGTTTTCCATTCGATTGATGTGTTTTTGGATTTTGGTTTTGTCATTCGATAAGAACCACGTTATCTGAGCTTGCTTTTGTTAAGATATAATGTGATACAATGGTTGAACAAAAATGTGGAGGGTATGTAGGAATCAGCACATCTGTTTGTCTATCCTCTTACATGCTTCATCAGATATTCATGAAAAATGTAAGATCTTATTTACATAATAGATGTGTATATGTGTAAGTCATCCTGAATACCGGAGTTATGCCCCTTTGTATATATAAATACTTGTGCTGTATTTAGACCCCTCTACTAAGACACTTGTTTTGCATGCACAAGTATAAAAATTGCGGTTTTTATCCAACACAATCATAGGTTTGAACGTTGTTTTCAATTTAGACTTGTTTATATTTTTTCGTTTGGGCTTGCGTTATATTTGCCTTCTGGTTTATATGATCCGTTCATCCTATTTCGACTCTTTCAAAATTCAAGAGTCTATCCTAAATTGAGGTAAATTATATGGCCTTCCAAATACCGTTTTGGTTCCTAACATCACTGAAGAGACATTAATTGTCGAAATCCGGATATGGTGTACAAATTTCTGCACCTCATGTTTGCGGTACACAATCTTTTCCGCATGTTTATTGTTTTCTGTTTGGTAATAAATTAATTATAAGATCCATTTTGTTACATCTTGTGATCCGTTTATTTGGCAATCGCCATTGGCAGTCAGCAGAGTTTAAGAACATCAGTTGTTCGACTTGCTAGTCAAATGCGTTTTGTGAAAATATACTTTTTCACTTTTTTGTCTGTTGGAAAATGTTGTTTGTGCTGTGTTAAGACCTATCTACTAAGAAATATGTTTTACATGCACACGTATAAAAATTGCGGTTTTTATTATCCATCGCAACCATAGGTTTGAACGTTGTTTTCAATTTAGACTTGGTTGTAAATACTTGATAGTATTCAGTATTAATGAAAAGATTGAGTAGAAATCTATATTATTTGCCTATCATTTCTGTTAAAGTACATTTAAAAAAATAGATTTGTGTGTCAATACAATTTGTATATCACAAATAGTTTCTATGTTAACTTTCAAACCCCTTAGAGGATACTATCTTGGCGTGATTATGTTCACCACCTTTGCCAAATGTGTTGCATACAATGAAAAGTTCTAAAACTATCAAAACAAATCTAAGTTTGGCACCGTATTGTCAATATATGCACAGATAAATTGTTCAAGGTACCATGGCAACAAAACAGGGCAGGTTTGAGCTGATTTATTTAAAAATATGATTTAGTTGATATTTAGTTTTCTTTTTCACTATTTTATAAGGAAACGTTTTTATTGCATTTATGCAGTCATCACATTTAGCTAATTTTCTAGTAGCTTTTTAGATTTAGCTTTCATTGTGTAGACATACTTAATGAAAAAAGAAAATGCTATGTCCCTTTAGTTATATACAATTATATACATATTTACGAGTTTTAAAGATACTTTCATTTACAATTCTTTTATCGGACAGTTATATTTGGTGTGCCAAAAGAGCTGTGTGCTAAGGAGTATTATGGAGCAGTTATAGAGCAGAAAATCTCCAAGTTCATCAGTTTGAGAAATACACTTTATTGACAAAGACAGAGGAATGTGCAGGCTGATACAGGAAACATTTGAGAAGGAATTTGGTATCAAAGGTCAAAATGTGATGTAGCATTTTGTAAAGATAATGTTTGTTGATTTGATTATTTTTAGAGAGCGCATATTAGTAGTGTCAATCATTTTCCACTGTACTTAACTATGCATTGTGTATTTCATTGTCCATTTTGGTTGTACCAATAATACTTAAATCGTGTATATTATGTTATAGAAAATATAGTTCTGTCTATAAACATCCTGCAGGCTTTTTCTGGCATTTTGTTTTCAAATATAACTTAAATCATGGAAAAAGCATAATTTGCTGAATATGTCCACCAGAATTTCTTGCATTATCCTTAAACTTTCCTTTGCGTTGGACTAATATGTGTTGAGTAATCACGTAGTGTCTGATATGGAAAAGGACATGTTATAATTTATTTTTAACATATGCTGCCAGTAAGGTGAATACTTTTAAATGTGTAACAATTTTCTTTACAATAATTAGGTAATAACGGATTTATTGTTTGTTAGATAGAACTGTTCAAATTAAATTTCTAAACTTTATTCATTTATTTTCAACATTTACTCCATAAAAAGTTATTGTTGAATTTCTATTTAGTTTTGAACTATGGTATACTTAGATTTAGTGTGTCTTGATTAGAAATATTATGCAATGTATTTTCATGTATTTTCATTTCCTCAAATGAAGTTCCCAAATAGTTAAAACCAAATTCTTCAGTATTCTAATGTCAATATCAATGATATGCCCTGGCTACAATAGAAGGGGCGCATAATGTTTTCTGGTGTGGTTGTGTCTTTCCATCCCAGGTTAAATATTTTGGTTAAGGTTGGTTACCACCAAGTTGTAGTCACATTCAAACTTCATTTTATGGTTCACTGAACATAGAAATGTGATATATGTAGTGTGAAATGTTATTCTAATACATGTATGTTAACATTTTCGGATGTACCGGACATTTAGCATAATCTTTTGGTACCAATTGCTGTATTGTACTATGGTGTTAAAGATGTTTAAAAGATTAATCTTTATAAAATTCCATTTCAAACAAATAGCTTCTAGTTAGGCAACTATTTGTCTTCAATAATTCTAGCTCACCTGGACAAAACTGTTCTGTGATTTAATGCCTTAGTCATATTTTCATCTTAAATCTATATTTATGATAATAAACATCTGAAACAATTGTAAGATGATGGTCTGTCAGACAAAACAATGTAAGTATTTTTTTATGAAAATATCTGATATATACTCTTGTCCAACTAGTTTTAATATAAGAATTTGTAAATGTGAATATTTCCTGTGGTAGTTTTATATAAAGTTTTTGATTTTTAGACATTTTTCTATTGTATGTTTTTGCACATGTTTCATTTGTATTACTTTTCGTGTAATCTTGAATTACTTCTACTTGTGGTGTGAAGATATATCAGCAGTATTTTGACAAATGCAGTATTTGAAAATATTCTTGGAGTCATTTTGTATGCTGATCAATCTGGCTAATAGTCACTATAGACCATCATTATATGAAGAACATAGAATCCCAGGATCAAATATTTTTAAAAAGTTAGTATAATTTCTAGAAAACAATTCTACACTATGTAGATTGCAATGGACGTCATTTAATGACTTGGGACCTTAAATCATGCATAGGTTGAATTTGTGATACATGTAGTTGATTGCAGAAAACCAATGCTACTTCATTGGCATCGACTTGTGTTTAACAAGGTTTTGAACATTAAGATAAGTTAATGGATGGACAGACATCTATGTCTTCTATATATTCACATTATCTAGTTGTATTGTATATTTAATTTTTCTTTAAAAGTTGAGTTTTTAAGTGTTGTAAACTGTATAATTATTTTTTTAGTCAGTTATTGCAAGAATTGCACACATTATATATACGCTGGTTTAGGTTTTTCAATGGCAAACAATTTTAATTTTTAAAAAATTATTGACAGTTGTTACATTTTTGATACAAAGTTAAGATACGCACATGAATATTATTCTGTAATTATATATAATTGAAAATGACCCTATTAAAACTCGATTGACAAAAAACTAAATGTGCTTTGCAAATAACATAACTTTTTACAGTTTGCTCATGTAGTGTATTTATAAACCTTTGTTCTTTTCAGAATATGTTTTCATTACATATTCAACTGCTTTTCCTTTCATGCTTTTCAGTCTTGCGTGCCTTCTGTAGTGAACACTTTTCCTTTGCTGTTTGTGTATAAAATAGAGAATTTTTTTTTCTCATTGTGCATAGATTTTGAAATTGAAAATATTTTTTTAGTGAAGCGATAGCCGAAGGTTACAAGTTTGCTCTATACAATGTTGGTAAACATTTTACTGAATATCAAATTAACCAATTAACCTTTAACATGTTTAAGATATCCATTAAATAACATTAACATTTTATACTATATAAAACATGAGATGGTACATTGAAAATTTCTTTGAAATTACATGGGTTCTATTTCTAAATAAGAATTAAAAAAGGTGGTACGATTGCCAGTGAGACAACTTTCCACTAAAGACCAAATGACATAGACGCTAGTAAATATAAGTCACTGTTCAGACTGTAACAAACGACAACCACTAATTTACAGGCTCCTGGAATTGAATAGGCACATACAGAATGTGGTAGTGTTAAGCATAGTTGCAAGTGCCCATACCTGGGACAGTGGTATGCCAGCACAACTTAAGAACAAACTGTAAAATTAAATTACATGAATTGATAAATTGAATATTATTTCATAAATTTTGTTTGACAATGCCATTATTAGCCATTCATTAGTATAACGAGAACATACCTAAATTAACTCATAAAGGTTGGTCTTTGTATCCAATTATAAGAATGACTGTTTTTATCATTTTGAACATTATATTGACAACGATGTGTGAACAAAACAAACAAAATAGGCAAAAATGTCACAAATAGGGGTACAACAGCAACACGAATCCCACCAAAAACTGGGGGTGATCTCAGGTGCTCCGGAAGGGTAAGAAGATCCTGCTCCACATCTGGCACCCGTCGTGTTACTCATGTTATTATAAAGTCGGTAAATAGTCTAATTCGGTAGGTCACATTCGTGAAAAGGGAACGGGATTGTAGTTACGACATAAGGAACATATCCGATATCATCTGTGAAACGGATATTCCATAACGGTCAACCAACAAGTGATGGCGTCCGTAAATTTTACGAAGTGATGATTTTAACTTCAGCATTTGGAACTAAAAATGAAAAGGTCACAATTGAGAAGCTGAAATCATCTCTTTTGTCGTAAAGTTTTGTTTCAACCGACCCTCATTGTCAATTTCTAGATGTAAGTCAAGATATGAGGCAGACTTAACTGTAAAACGGAAAGTCCCTAATCAAATTGCAAAATCAAAAGCTCAAACACATCAAACGAACGGATAACAACTGTCATATGCCTGAATTGGTACAGGCATTTTCTTATGTAGAAAATGGTGGATTGAACCTGGTTTTATAGCTAGCTAAACCTCTCACTTGTATGACAGTCACATCAAATTCCATTATATTGACAACGATGCGTGAACAAAACAAACAGACACAGTAGGTAAAAATGTCAAAAATAGGGGTACAGCAGTCATCATTGTGTTATTATCTAATTCCCTATAAAAACAAACAAATGTAACAAAGAATCACAAAAACGCATACATCAAATTTAACAACCTCATTTTGCTTTTTTATTATACGATTTTATTTGTATAAATAAAATCCACCCATAAAGGATTGAAAGAATTTAAGAACTAGGACCGAATCCTTACCCTGACAGACACATGGTTAGATTAACATTAACTTTGACGTAGAATCGCGCGTTTGACGTCACACAGGTAGAAATAAAATAATTGTGTCGTTCAATGTATGACGGGATGCATAAGTTCAGAGTCACGTCAAATGGATATCACAAAAAACAGACTTAACAGTAAAAGTAAAAATGCATACATTAAATTTAACAACCTCATTTTGCTTTTTTATTATTATACGATTTTATGAACCTATAAATGAGAAGAGAATATGGATTGAATGTGCAAGAAACAAAAGTTCATATGAAAACATGGAAAAATAATCTAATGCAGTTTATTAATTAGAAAACGTCATATTTTTGGAGGAGATAAATTCCAAGGTTTACTTGTTATAATTCTCTTTAAAATCTGAGATGATTAAAGTCTTCTTATGGTTCATTAAACAAGCAAGAACTATCAATTACACGATAACAGGTAAAACCTTAAAATCTCATTTCTCGTTTTTCATATAGATTAGACCGTTGGTTTTCCTGTTTAAATGGTTTTACATTAATCATTTTAGGGGCCTTTTATAGCTTGCTGTTCGGTGTGAGCCAAGGCTCTGTGTTGAAGGCCGTACTTTGACCTATAATGGTTTACTTTTATAAATTGTGACATGGATGGAGAGTTTTCTCAAAAGCACTCATACCACATCTTCTAATATCTAATTTAATATATTTCAACACTTACTGTTTTCTTGCTTTTCTGACTCATAGCTAGAAATCCTATATTGTTGCCAGCAAGGATAAAGAAAACTATTTTTCATTCGTCAATTATTATGATTGCTTTTTATCATGAGAAAAGCCGGAAGTTCTTCATTAATGACGGAGAGGACTAATGTCTTACAATGTGATCATGGCAGCCGAGATTGTTAACATAAGCTTTTATCTTAACTTAATAAATAGAAATACAAGTGACTAGTGAATCGTTATATAGCAATTAATAATTAGTTTTTCTTTGTTTGAAAACCACCATAATTGTTTGATTATTTACTTATTATTGATTATTATATTATTAGTGGTGCACAATAAAATATACATTAAGATTGGTATTATTTATTCTAATATACTTATAATAAACTTACAAATTACTTTGATTGTATGCTGAAAAAATGACACATGGGATAAATGTACATGGAGACAGTAATTATAGTGATAACATATATATATATATATATATATATATATATATGTAAAAGGTGAATTTCTGAACAACCAAATAACAACAAGTCCATTTCATCTTTTCCTAGGGTTCTTTATTCAACAATGATGTAATCATATAATTATAAACCCTACAAAATATAACAAAATACATTTAAAACAGATTAATCTATTATTACTATATCGTACTGTGTTACTATTATTATAACATTACTGCAGATCAACATAAATATAAGAACATTGAAAGTTTATAGTTCTTCTATAATATCAATACACAAGGTGACATGATGATATTTAACACTTGCAAATATTCATTCATCGTTCATATAAAATCATCAGCTTTTACAATTAAACATACTATTATAATGTCAAGATCATATAACACTATTTGAATTAACTAAATAGATATATGTAAATCCATATTCTACAAATAACCATAACATATATATCAACGGTAGATAACTCTACATAATATCAAATGCTCTTCACTGTCTTACATGAATAATATATATATTATGCTATTTTAAGTATACATAAACTCACCAGTCTGTGGAACTGAGTTTGATAACTAACATCGACAGTCTACATAATATTAACAGTAACGATCTTCATACGTGTACAGTAATGGTTACAGAGGTTCACATCAAATATGGTTCTGTAAACAATATATGACAATAATAAGTAATCTGACT